CCCCCCCCCCCCCGGACTCTAGGTTATCAAATAGGTGATCAATAGAGACCAAAAAAATGAAGGAACAAGCCTTTTTTCATGATGCGGTACAAACGAACAGGCAAGATTGAAAAAGATTTGACCAGCACAAAAAAGAAGTTCACTTGTAAAGCACTTATTGTAACTTTCCAAAAAACTCAAGAATTTTTAACATTTTTTTTAAGACTTTATCTCTATTTTCCAGACTTTTTCCAGGTCTGGAAAATTGTTGGGCAAAATAATTTCAGAACTTTTTCAAGAATTCAAGACTCTGTACAAACCCTGATCACAGAAACGGCAAACGCAGAGTACCCAAGGAGCCAAACACACAAGGGCACTCTTCTTTTAGCCTTGCAAACTCAAGATACATACTCTGACCTTGAATTACTCCCACTGTTACGGCCGCATTCCACGTCAATATGTTTAGCGTTTAGTTCTTTGTATAGTAGCACATTCCTTTCACATTCTTTTCAGTTATCGCTATTCATATTCTGTTAGATTTCTCTGCATAAGTTTCTTTGTTCTTAGGTCATTTTGTAAGTTTCATCGTTTACTCTAATTCATTTCGCTTTAGCGTTCACGGCAACATCATTGCAGTTTTTTTCGTCCAGTCTTGTTAGCCATCGTACCCTTTTTCCGTTCAACTTTCTAGTCACACAACGTTTGTAAGTATTTTCGCTTAGTTTCTTTCCGTTTCCTGTATTTTCGTCGTTTCATAGCTGTAATTTGTATTCCTTAGTAATTTGTATTTTTTGTTTCGCTTTTAGCAACCGTAATCGTATTTCGTTATAACTGTAATAAAGACGAGCTGGAACCGTGGACCATCCTTGGATTATTCGCTATAATATTTCGTTGAAACGTTATGGATCCAATCGAGGAGCAAGTTGGAACGGAAAGCGACAGTTTGGATTTCGCTAATGCTGCCTTAGCAACCGGTGTAACAAGGCGAAGGCAGCGCACAGAAAAGGGAAAAGCATTTATCGCTCATGTTCGATGGACGGATTGCCAGACTTTATTTAGAAGAATCCAACGTCAAATGAAGGAAATTGATAGTTTGGCGACTAATGAAGAGAATGTGGACGTCGTCGAGAGGAATTTAACTTCATTTCGTTTTTCCGTGGAAGAGCTCAAGTCGGGTTTCGCTGCTCTTTTAAACGATCTTGAGTCCGAGGAGGATTTGGACGTTGCGAACGAATGGTATATTAATCAGAGTGGAAAGATTAACGACTTTTTAGACAAAACTGTACTCTGGATTTCAACGGCGAAAGAGACAATCGAACATAGCTTGGAAACAAGATCTCAAGTTGGCTCGATATATTCCACATCGCATCGTTCAAAGGCATCATCTAGACATTCTAGCCGTTCGATTACCTCAAGCAGAGCGAAAGAGAAAGCTAAAGCCGCCGAGTTAATGGCCAGAGTTGCTATGTTGGATAAAAGGAAAGAGTTGGAGTTGAGAGTCGAGAAGTTACGCCTCGAAGAGCAGTTGGCAGTTGTTCGCGTGCGAGAGGGTGTGTTCGCTGAAATTGAAAGGGGTGTCGGCGATGCGGATTCGACTGGTCGTCAAGAATTGTCTCCGAAAGATTCTTCTGTACAGGCATCTACTTCATCTGAGCCGTTTCTTCCGACTTCCTCAAGCGCTTACACGTCTCCAACCGTTACGTCTAACACTATGACTAAAGTGAGCTTTACCGCTGATTTATATGACGCTCCTATGATACAAACTCCTCCTAAGCCAATGCAGCATCCAAGTCTGAATCCTTTTGCACCTGAGTTTCACGTCGTGGAAATGAAGCAAGATACACAGCCATTGGGACAACCGAAACAAGAACCTTTCGCGAGTGAACCTCGATACATGGCCTACACACATCAGAGTACTAAGCAGTTCTGTGAAGTCCTTCAACAGCAGAACAGATTAACAGAATTACTAGCAGAGCAACATCAACAGAGTTTACTACCTTCTCTTACACTGACCAAGTTTAGTGGCGATTCTTTGGAGTACTTTACCTTTATAAGAAGTTTTGAATCGCAAGTAGAGGCTAAGGTTAGCGTGAATGATGTGCGCCTGCAATACTTAGAGCAGTATTTACACGGATAACCCAAGGACCTAATCAAAGGATGTCTTCACCTTGATAGACACAGTGGGTACCTAGAGGCCAAAAGGCTCCTTAATGAAAAGTATGGGGACCCATACAAGATATCCAACGCCTATCTCAAGAAAATTAACGAGTGGCCCTGCATCCGACCAGGAGACGAGTTGGCATTAGACAGATTCTCCATCTTCCTAAGTCAGTCCCGGAGCGCGATGTCAACTCTAACCTACCTGTCTATTCTAAATCATCCTCACAATTTGCAAAGCATGGTAACCAAGTTTCCATTTACGCTTCAAGACCGATGGCGCCGAGAAGCAAATAGAAGGAGAGTGGCGGGTGGAGTGATCCCCTCCTTTGCCGACTTCGTGAACTTCGTTAATGCAGAAGCGGGAATTGCGACCGACCCAGTCTTCTCTCGTGAAGCGTTCCGTCGTTTGGATGGTACCTCAGATCGACCTGATCGTTCCAGCAAAGGCAGAGGTAAAAGCTTTGGCAAGTCTAAAACGCCTGGGAACCATAATGCTACTTCACATCACGCCTCCAGTCACGCGACAGATGTGACCGCTGACCAACAGTCAGGCTCACGCACTCCCATTAACCTCTGTAAGTTGTGCAACAAGAACCATGATTTGGACGACTGTCAAGACTACTTGAATAAATCCTTGTCACAAAGGAAGGACTTCCTAAAGAAGAAATCACTCTGCTTTGCCTGCTACAGTCCTGGACATAGATCCAACGTTTGTGCTTAGCGAAGGACCTGTAAGAGCTGCTCACGTCGACATCCAACGGATCTACATGATGATAGCCTCGCCCTCAATCAGGACGCCTCCAAACAGGTTAGCTCTACTCCTCCGCAACCAAAGGAGAACGTTTTAAATGCTCACACCGAGGTGGAAGAAGCCCTCTGCAATGCTGTAGGCACCGGAGAATCAGTAACCGCCGTTCCTGTCGTTCCTGTTAGGCTGAAATCTGCTGAAAGTGAAGTCCTCACTTACGCCATGCTTGACACCTGCAGTACCGGTTCGTTCGTTATTGACGATATCGCGACCACCTTGGGGGTGAAGGGCGTGAATACACAGCTCATGGTGAAGACTGTCAATGGTACAAAGTTGCACGACTCTAAGGTCTTGAATGGATTAATCGTCATGGACTTAAAGGGCAAGAATCCCATACAGCTACCGAAGATATTCACTAAAGAGGACCTCTGCACACCCCCAAATGTGCCTACGCCTGAACTTGCCCATCGTTAGAAACATCTCAGAAACATCGCCAGCGAGCTGCCTACACAGTTATCGCATGTCAAGATTGGTCTTCTGATTGGCTCAGACTGCCCAAAAGTTCTCGAACCTAAAGACGTATTAGCTAGTGAAGATGGTGGTCCCTTCGCAATCAGGACGTTTGCTGGGTGGGCAATAGTGGGCCCTCTGTACATGTGCGACACAGAGCATTCAAATGTCAATTGCCATAGAGTTGCTGCTACGGAAGTTGGTTCAGGCAGACGCCTCGACCACCACTTCACGGTAGAGAGCAGAGTTAAGGAGATCGTCACTCCACAAGCACTCAACAAGATGCTCGAACTGGACTTCAGTGAACGAACGGACGATAAGGAGCAAGAATATTCACGAGAAGACATGAAGTTTCTGAAGATAGTCAGTCAGGGAATTCGTCACGAGGAAGATCATCATTATGAAATTTCCCTTCCTTTCCGCGTTGACAGCCAATGGTTTCCTGATAATAGAGGACAAGTTCTTCAAAGAGCACTATGGTTAAGAAAGAAGCTTATTAAGAATGAGATGTTTTACAAGGACTATGTTAACTTTATGAGCAGCATCATTGCCAAGGGATTTGCTCGGAAAGTACCGTCTCATCTTATTCCTGCAAAGACGGGCCAAGTCTGGTACATACCCCATCATGGCGTTTACCATGCCAAGAAGCCGAACAAGATAAGGGTGGTGTTCGACTGTAGCGCTAGATTTGGAGGAACATCGCTCAACGACAAGTTGCTACAAGGGCCTGACCTGACAAATCGACTTGTTGGTGTCCTTACAAGATTTCGCGAAGAGCCTATCGCGTTTATGGGTGACATTGATGCAATGTTCCATCAAGTCCGCGTACCAGAAGGCCAGCGAGACTTCCTTCGCTTCCTTTGGTGGCCTGATGGAGACCTAACACAAGACCTTGAAGAATATCAAATGAACGTCCACTTGTTCGGCGCAGTGTCGTCACCAAGTTGCTCAAATTTCGCGCTGAGAAAAGCCGCAGATGACGCGGAAAAGATTGTTGGAACAGAGGCCGCAGATGTTCTGCGAAAGAACTTTTACGTTGACGACTGTCTGCGCTCCGAAGGAAAAGAAGATACCGCTATCGAAAGGATACGTGATGTTCGCTATGCTTGCGCCCATGGAGGGTTTAATTTGGCCAAGTTCGTTAGCAGCAGCAAAAACGTTCTCGAAAGTATCCCGGAAGAAGTGCGCGCCCCAGAAGTTAGATCGTTAGAATTAGGAAGTGATTACTATCCAGTGGAGAGAGCTCTTGGTGTCCAGTGGGCAATCGAATCGGACATGTTCGGTTTCAGAATTGTCATCAAAGACCAGCCACTAACAAGGAGGGGAATACTATCAACCATATCTTCCGTCTACGACCCCCTGGGTATAGCTGCGCCCTTCCTGTTAGTCGGGAAGAAGATATTACAGGATCTGTGCTGAACGAAGCTAGGATGGGACGACGAGATTAGCGAAGAGTTCCGCGTACGTTGGGAAAGGTGGAGAGGCCAGTTGCCTGCACTTGAGCGTTTCTCTATGGAACGATGTCTGAAGCCCAATAACTTTTGCGTCGTCGTGTCGAGACAGATCCACAGTTTCTCTGACGCAAGTTCGACTGGTTATGGTCAAGTATCCTACCTTAGAATGGAAAACGAGAGAGGTGACGTCCATTGCGCATTCCTTATAGGGAAGGCTCGAGTTGCTCCCGTGAAGACCATGACTATCCCTCGTTTAGAGTTAACCGCAGCCACTGTATCGGTTCGTGTGGTAGAGATGATCGCCAGAGAGCTAGACGAACCTGTTAATAGCAGGCACTTCTGGACCGACAGCACAACCGTGTTAAAGTACATAAGTAACGAAAAGAAGCGTTTTCAGGTCTTTGTCGCCAACCGTGTTCAGACGATACGAGACGCGACAAACCCCTATCAGTGGAGGTACGTTGAGTCCAAAAGGAATCCTGCAGATGACGCTTCCCGTGGTCTTGACGGTCAAGAATTATCCCCGCAGTGTCGTTGGATTACAGGTCCGAACTTCTTACGGCTACCTGAGAGTGAGTGGCCTCAACTCCCTGGTGACCTATACGATATCCCTATAGACGACCCTGAAGTTAAAAGAATCTTGGTACACAGACGTCGATGAGAGCGAAGATTTTCTGACGAGGCTTAACCGATTTTCCGAATGGCACCGACTGAAGAAATCTATTGCTTGGATACTCCGTCTCAAGCCCAAGCAAGGTATTACTGACGATGGTACAAGGAGAGATGGAAACGCCACAAAGGTTGAAGCCAAGCCTCTGAGGGTAGAAGAGTTAGATAGAGCTGAGAAGACCATTCTTAAACTTATACAGAGCAGAGCGTTTCCCAAGGAAATAGAAGCATTACAGAAGATCCAAAGAGCATATTCCAAAGACGATCGCCAATTCGCGAAAGCGAAGAAGTCTGAAATTAGGAAGTCAAGTACCCTGTTCCGCCTCGATCCCTTTCTAGACAAGGATGGACTCATCCGCGTTGGTGGTAGACTGGGTAATTCACAGGAGTTCGAGGAAAACTTTAAGCATCCGGTTATCCTCCCTAAGAAGAGTTTCATCGTCGAGCTTATCATTCGTGACGCTCATAAGAAAGTCGCTCATGCTGGCAGAGGCATAACGTTGAACGAGCTTAGAAGCCGATATTGGATAGTTAGCGCGAATTCTGCTGTGAGACATCTCATCTCCAAGTGTGTTGTGTGTCGTCGTCTTCGAGGAACAACCGGTGAACAGAAGATGGCTGATCTGCCGGAGGAGAGGATAACATCTGCCCCTCCCTTCACCTATTGTGGTGTCGATCTGTTTGGTCCCTTTCATATAAAGCAAGGCAGGAAAGAAGTCAAACGTTATGGGGTACTATTTACTTGCTTAGCCAGTAGAGGGGTACGCATCGAAACAGCAGACTCGCTAGAAACAGATTCCTTCATGAACGCATTACGAAGATTCATAGCAAGTGGAGGGCCAGTACGCGAGATCAGATCAGACCAGGGAACAAACATTGTGGGAGCTCAGACAGAGCTTAAGAAAGCCCTAGAGGAGATGGACCATGATGACATCAAAAGACGCCTCAGCAAAGACTTCAATTCTGATTGGGTTATCAAATGGAAAAGGAATCCCCCAGCTGCGTCTCATATGGGTGGCGTCTGGGAACGTCAGATACGATCTGTTCGATCCATCTTGTCTGCGCTGATGCGAGAATATGGTCACGTCCTTGATGATGAGTCTCTTAGAACCTTGATGGCTGAAGTAGAATGCATCATCAACAGCCGTCCGCTTACCTTCCCGTCAAGTGATATCGGAGATTTGGACCCTTTAACGCGAAGTCACATATTGACGATGAAATCAAAGATTGTTATGCCGCCCCCTGGTAACTTCCAGAAGGCCGACGTTTATCTCCGTCGAAGATGGAAACGGATTCAATATTTGTCCAACGTCTTTTGGTCGAGATGGAGAAAGGAGTACGTCCAGACCCTACAAGAGAGAGTGAAATGGAACAACCCGAGAAGAAACCTTCAAAGAGGGGACCTTGTATTGATCGCCGATGATAGAGTGCCAAGAAATCAATGGAATATGGCTCGAGTTGTCGACTCACGCCCATATTCAAAGGGACAGGTCCGATCGGTGAAGGTTGAAACGGCAACGACAGTGTTGGAGAGGCCAATTCAGAAGCTCGTGCTAATACTTGAGAATGAAGAAAACTGAGGACCAGGGGTATATCCCAGCCAGAGGAGCCATGGAGATTTAGAGATGTTCAATGAACTTTAATGCTTAATTAAGAATTAAGGACATAAGAGTTTTTCCTAACTCTTAGGGGAGCCAGATGTTACGGCCGCATTCCACGTCAATATGTTTAGCGTTTAGTTCTTTGTATAGTTGCACATACCATCGTACCCTTTTTCCGTTCAACTTTCTAGTCACACAACGTTTGTAAGTATTTTCGCTTAGTTTCTTTCCGTTTCCTGTATTTTCGTCGTTTCATAGCTGTAATTTGTATTCCTTAGTAATTTGTATTTCTGTTTCGCTTTTAGCAACCGTAATCGTATTTCGTTATAACTGTAATAAAGACGAGCTGGAACCGTGGACCATCCTTGGATTATTCGCTATAATACCCACTTCCTTGCAATTTTACTTACATCTCTAAGAAAGATATGAACGTCAATAATTCTCTCTGTGTCCTTGGTATTATTTATGCTGGTTGCTTGAATGGAGTTATCAATAAACTCACAGAATGCTTGGTAGCTAGCTGTAAATAAAACAAAATGTCAAGAATTTGCCTTTTATTACAAAGTGACATTATTTAAGGATACACCAAGCAACTAAAATGCAGTTGTCACTTCAGACATGAACTCCTAGTTGTCCAAGGCAGGGCTGTCACTAAGATTTCAAGTTGCCACATAAATACAACAAGTTGGCAGGGAATTAAACAGCTAGCAATTTCCTTTTGGTTTTATTTTTCCTCCAGTACCAAAGAAAGTAGCAGGGATTCATGTTCCTTGTTGCCAGGGGAAATCCCCAGCTCCTAGCCATTAATAACAGCCCTGCAAGAAAAAAAGACTCAGTGATGCACAAGGGTCCACCAGGGTGCAAAGAAAGTCAGTTTTAGAGCTTTCCATTAGGGCAAGCTGTAGGTGACATGTACCAGCCCAAAAGTCACCTCAACTAGCCCCTCCCCACCCCCCCCCCTCAAAAAAAATTGATGAATAGGATTGATTACAGTTCCTTGAATACAGTTCTTCTGTAATTTTCCCACAAAATTTCGCTTGCCTGTAGTAGTGCTAATAGTAATCATTGTTCTTTGAACAACTTAGTCAAGGTCTTAGTGCCAGCCAACACAATCCTATCACTTTAAAAGACCTACAGTTTAAGCCTGTGTAGCATGCACCAGTCTGGTTTTTTTTTCAGGTGAAGGGAGAAATTTTGCATGCACATGAGGGTAGAAAAGAAGAGGAGGCATATTTACATA